GGAATCCTTTTTGTTTAACACTCTTCTGTTTCCTAGCCGATTCCCTTCCCAAGCCTGACGAAAGTCAGAACGTTTTCTCAGCTACGCCAAGATTTTCAGTCTAGGGATACAGCTACATAGTTAACGTTTTTCTATCATTAACCAAAATAGTCAAGTTTTATATTCACTTAAGCATCGGCCTTCATCTTCCACACAGAATCCTGGCAAAGCACACTCACGCAAGACTCACCGGTTATTTTTGCAGTGTACCATATTCCATCGCTGTGTTTCGCCAGGCAGGCTGAGCCCACCTCCAGCGCGCTCAGATTGGGCTCCTGAAACGGCTGAAGCTCTTCCACAGAGACCACCTGACCATGCGAAAACCTGCCAGGGAAGGCGGAAGAGGAATTTTCTCTACCTCATTTGAGCAGGCTTTAACTAAAAATTCCTTCTCTCCTTAAAGGAAATGCAAACGAGTTGTCAGCAGTGATGAACCTTTACCAGTAATTACGGAAGTTTTGCCGTGCATTATTTCAATTACACAAGTTATTAGTTTTTCATCTTAAACTTATTATTCAGGCCGCGTAACAAAGACTGCATCCCACCCCGGAGAAATAAGCTTTCCTTGCTAGTGACACATCCAGTAAAAAAGTTCCCAGATCCTTTGAGATAAACAGGATCACACAGACACGCAGGTCTCTGGTCCAACCTCCTGCTCAAAGCACAACCAACTTCAGACTGATCGGGCTGCTCAAGGCCTTATCTAGTGGAGTTCTGAAGATCTCCAAAGATGGAGACTCTACTACCTCTCTGTGCAACCGGAACGTATGCACTACCGACAGACAAGCTTTGGTGTTTTGTTTTAAAATACTTAATCAGTTATTAACTTAGCCACTCGATTGAGGATGTAAAACCTCTGCAACTTTCCCATGGGATTTTCCATTTCATCTCTGCATTAGCTAAAGAAAGCTGCCAAACTGACGCCACCGCTTGCCATAACGCATTTGAAAAACATAAACAAAAGGGCAAAATTTCATTGGGTATAAAAGCCAAACACGGTACTTTCGGAGGAGGTTTATCCCTTTGAACGACAAGGCCTTTAGCTACAGGAAGGACAAAAGCCCCCTCCCACCCCTTTTTCTTTTTTACCGACAGTTCTCTTTAAATCTGCATTTGTCATCCAAGAAGAACGGGCAAGGCTTCAGGGACTTGTGAGTTGGATAGAGATACAGCACTCTGACTCCTGCACTGCCATCTTCTAAGTCCTCTGTCCCCACAATCATGGCATTATGGTACTCCAGGGTCCCCCACGAACTGTAGTAGGGGGCTTTAACCTTCATCCCACTCAGTTCCTCCTCCTCCTCCTCTCTGTCAGACTCCTCCTCCTCTTCACTGTACTTTGATTCATTTTTGTCATCAGTTTCTTCATCTCTCTTTGACGATGCCCCGTTGTTATCAGCTGAAGGCTTCGCGTCGGTTCCAAGCTCAGCAATGGCTTCCTTAAAGGCAGCATACTCCTCATCCTGGGCAGAACTGTCTGGCTTGGCATCCTGCTCCAGGAGACCTACTGGGGAGGAGGAGGCGGCATCGGTATCTAAAGTAGCCAGAAGTTTGCTCTTTTTAACAGACACCAGGCTGGATTCAGTCAGTTCTATCAGCTGCTTTAAATCTTCCTGCAACTGAATCAAGTCCGACTGCTGCGATGGGTCCAGGCCTGCCCCTAACGCCAGCTCCACTTGCTGCAGCTGGGCGCTGTAGGTCTGAATTGCCGCTTCCAGACTCTCTTCATCCATTATCAGCAAAAGAAAGGTGTGTTTAACCGTGTCCTTTCCGGGAACTCAGAACATATTCGAAGAGTTTGTTTAAGATGAGCAACTTTTTGGATAACACGCCTTTGTCCGCAGTCGCTACCATCTACCCCGCCGTCCCGCTTCTTCCCTCGGAAGTACCCCGGCGATGCTCCTGCAGCGAACAGCCGGCGAAAGGCGATGAGAGAGTCCGAGGTGAGGAGAGGAGAG